CATTCAATCAATAAAAATCTCACTAAAACTAGGAACCAACGCGTACCTGTTATATGTATGTTGTGAAAACAAAAAAAAACACAAAACAAAAAACACACCACCAAGTAGAGTAAAAGAATAGAAGTCCCTAACCTACCTATGTAACTAAATTACCTTATGCCCTAGCTTACCTATATAATAAATTAATTTTTAACTCACCTACCTATGCTTCATTAACTTAACTTAAAACTCATGAAGAAAGAGAAAAAAGAGTAAAACAGAACATTAAATACTACCACACAAACAAACATGATGTATGTATGTATGTATGAGCAACCGCTAAAGAACCCACCTAAAATATAAAAAATCACAACATACAAACACACAAACCACAGACATGCAAACTCTATATAACTCTATATAATAAAATAAATAAAAATAAAAAATTTAAAAAAATAAAATAAATGAGATCAGACAGACTGCTTCAAGCGAGGCAGAATGCCTGATCTGATTTTCATGTTGTTTCAGCTCCTCTATTTATACTCGTTCCAACCATACATTTTCATCATTTCAATTATTCACACCAGTAAAAAACTTATTTAATGTATGTAGTACACTATTATACAGCCTTAACAACAATGCTAATGCTAACCGTACTAAATTGACGTCAACGAACAAACGCCTTCGAAACTTTCTAGTTGGCTGGATGAATCTGCTATATTGCTTTTTATATAAACATATAATATCTGGAAGAATTCAAAATAGTTTGAGACCACACCTTGCTTAACATCCGATTCCAAGCCGAGCCAAGCCAAGCCGAGCCAAGCCAAGCCGAGCCAATATGCGTAGATTTATTAGCGCTTTTATATTAAAATTTTGGTCGCTTTATATACGAATATCCCCAATATCGATATCAAAGAAATAACGCGAGCGAGTTTAGAAATATTTTATACAAAATTTAATTAAAATAGAACATATTCACAAGTTTTATTTGCCAAGTAATTCCATCCAATCATCCTATTTTTAAAATTTTCTTTGATGTTTCTTAACCAGTCAGGTCACAATCATCATCATCGATATCGCGATGAAATCAAACAAAAACGTTTTTTTAAATTGTTGATCAAAGTAACTAGTACATAGTAAAAAGTTTAAATTTTTCTGAGAGAACTCAAAATAATTTGAGACTACACTATAACACAATTGTACAATTTGAATGTGTAAATATAACATTATAAATGTTAAATAACTACATATATCAATCTATCTATTGCTTTATTCAGTTTTGCCTGTGTATGTTATTTGGTCAACTTTATTTGATAGGAATTGAATATAAACTTTATACCGGCTAATTCACTAACAGGCAGTTAAATAACTACTGTTAGCATGACGTCATTTGCCCATCCTATTTTATAAGTTTTATTTGATATTTTTAATTAGTCAGTCACAATCATCATCGTCGATATCGCAATGAAATCAAATTGAGAATTTTAAAATTTTTGAAAAAAGTTTCTTTATTTATTTTATGATACTACTTTGTTCAATAAGATACTGTTTGATACTGTACTATCAATTAACCGGTCAATCAACCGCTGAATCAATTAATCAACCGCTGAATCAAATCAACTGACCAAACAATCAACCAATCATTTAACTAACCAATCAATCAACTAATTAACAAATAAACCTGGAATTATTTAATTTAAAATTATTTTTTTAATTTTAATGAAAATATTGCAATTTCGTAATTAAGCTAACCTATGGCTTTGTTAAGCGGTAAGTTAGCCATTGTGTTTTTTAAACAAAGAGCAATATTTTCATTTAAATTGACAAAAATTTCCAATAATTTCCAATAATTACATTATTCAATTTAATAACAATGTTTTAAACATATTGAGTCAAACCCATGCAATTTCGTTAAGTAAGCCCACTATGGCTTCAGTAAGCCACTCTGTTTTCTAAACAAAAAGCTTTACTAAAATTGACAACGATAATTTTAAATAATATAATTCGATTTATATATATACACAGATACACATTCGCACACACACACATACATACTTACGTACAGACAGAAAATTTTTTGCCAGGATTTATTTTAAAAACGTTGATAACGCGCTGCGAACTTGAATGACAATCGAACCAAACAAAAACATTTTTTTTACTGCGGTTTCATAAATATGGCTAAAAATTCAATAAAACTTGATAATAATAATAAATAATAATAATAATAATATGATCATGACGATTGTGGTAGTGATGACTAAAAATATGTTGGTTTTGGTTAGTAAACACAGATTCTAGCTGGGTCAACAACAGGCTACGGAGTTCGTTTTGAGGAATCTAAAAATATGATAATTGCGTGTAGCGTGTTGGGAAGTAATAAAGGCAGGATAAACAAAAAAACATGAATGGAAAAATTAGCATGAATACAGTGGAAGAACTCTTTCCGGATCGATTCTTTCTCATCATTATTCGGATCATTTCCTGTTCTGTCATTAGCATAACGATAATCGGGCATTCATGGCAGACAATGAGACAATGAGAAATAAATGCGTTCGATACACACACGCACACACTTTTTGCAACACACATACACACACTATTGCAACATACACACATTCACACACACATTCACACACACATGCAACACATACACACACAACAACACACAAATTCATTCACTACAATATAATTTCAACAATTCAGTTACTGAGTTTTTATATATTGTTAGTTTCAGCTTAAACGTTTACAACAAAAACAGTACAGTTAAAAAAATATGAGTTTGTTGAAGCTAACCATTGTTTTTTTTGGCCAATATTTTGTTTTGGAGTTGATCGCTGATCTCCCATCATCGTCACCTCCCATTGAGCAACTTTTAAACTTTTCGAACGTCACTGCTTGTTACCAGAAGCTGCGAATTGATGCTGACGATGCTTGCTCTATTGAAAGTACCACGGAAAAAATAAATCTGAAAGATGTCATCCAGTTTGATGATTTGATTCTACATGGTCAAGTTGAAGATAGCATGACAACTCAACTGATCACTTGCACATATTTCTGTCGCTACAGGCAAGCTGATCAGCCGATCTGCCTAGGATTTAATTTGAGATTCCATTCAGGGACATGCGAGTTTTTTCGCTACAGACCGATTTACTATACTAAACAGTCGGATTGTGGATATTATGCAGTATGATTTTTTGCAACTCATTGAAACAATTATTTTTTTTTACCTGTAAAAATTCTTGCTGTTTAGAATATCAGTGATTTTTTTTATAAATTAATCAAACTATTTATTTCATTACAAAATATTTTGATGCCGTTATTGAACAAATAGCTAATTTTTATCAATTGGTTTCCACAGCTGAAACCTGTCAGCTCAGCTGGTCTGGTGCTCGTTCCAAAGTACCCACACCAGCACTTGTTCATTAGGCCGAGTGTGTATAACAACGAATAATAAGTTTCATCTTTTTGTTTTTCAGAATAACCGCATGACAAATTTTTATCTCAATGTATCGTTTTAATTAGGACCAGTTGAGAATTAATTTCATCATTATCGTATTTAAGCTTCAAAATAAAAATTCCTCATTTAAAAATTATTTGAAGTTGTTAATGATAAATTGGTGAAACTAATTCAGACTTCATAGCGCCAACAAGTAAGATGTTCCTGGTTCAACTGAAAGTCAACCCAGCATCCAAGTCCTTCAATAAAAATTGGTCTCAATTTAAAATCGGTTTTTCTGAACCGGATTCGTCGGCCTCACCAAATACCGCTGGTAGCGAATGTTGTTGTGGAAAGTCGTGGAACGCATTTTGGATAGGCAATGAATTGTTGTTTAAGCTGACGAATAGTTACAAGTGCGGTCTTCACGTGTTTCTTAATGTAAGCCAGGGTGAGTTTCTTGGCTGTTTATAGATGTTAATTGTTTTGGAGTCTGTATTATAATCTGTCAATAAATTTAAAATTTCGCGTTTTTCAATGAATTTGTACTTGCCCGAAATGACGAATCGACACAACAAACTGACAATGCTGCTTCAGTGCTGCTCCAAAATTTATAATTAAAAATGTAATTAAGTTCCTTTTATCCATTTATATATAACTTCATATTATTGGCCGGTGCGGTGGAGTAACGGTTAAGGTGCTTGGCAGAGCTGATGCTTTGGCTGGATCCAATTCCGTTTGAAAAAGATCTCACGTGCCACCTGTATTTACTCACACTGTGTTTTTGTTCTTGTTACCTTTAAAAAGCAATACAGTAAGTTGGAAAAAAATTAATTAATTATTACCGCAGAAATCCCAGAGCTCCAATATTCTTATTACGATCAATTCATTGTCGGTTCAGAAGCAGCAAAATACAGAATGGAGGCAATCAACTTCGCGAGAGGTAATTGTAGCACTTCGAAGGGCCTGATGAGAGTTGGCATGTCCTTCTCCACTTTCGATCAGGATAACGACCCGGATGGCTGGGTCAACTGTGCTGCCCGTTACGAAGCAGGTTAATGTGATTATATGGCCACGTAGTTTGTGAGTATGATTGATGTAATAACTGCAATGTAATTGATGTAATGGGTGTTTTGATGTAATCGATATGTGGAAACCACAACGACGAATACTATAAATTGTCATTAATACCTTTGCATTGGAATGGAGACGAAACTTTTTAAGAACGTCTGCAAAAATTTAAAATCTGATTTCAATTCAAAATCATTACATAATTTCAAACTCTGATTTCAATTCAAAATCATTACATAATTACAGTCTAATCGTTTGTGCATATTTTAAACGTTTCCATGACCCAAAACTCTCTTGATTCCTGAATATATATTTTTAAAATACAACTCGCCAAAGGTTGGTGGTACGCGGCATATCTATCATGGTTTGGAAATTGTGGTTTCACCAATTTCAACACCTTCTCTCCACACTTTCTGAGTTTGTACGGTAGTGAAACTAACCGGTTGTTTGCCAGTCAAATGTGGTTGGAGTGCATTTAATCTGTGGTAAAAATATAAATGAACGGATGGATGGATGACAGAATGGATAAATGGAAAAAATGAATGAATGGATATACAAACTGATGGAATGAATGGAGTGAATTTATAAAAGAATAGAGAAGTACATAAAAAGTTAATGGGCGATCGAATGAATGGATGAATGAACGAATGAACGAACGAATGAATGAATGGATGAATAGATGGATGGAGGGATGAATGGATGGATGGATGGATGGATGGATGGATGGATGGATGGACGAATGAATGGATGGATGGATGGAGGAATGAATGGATGAATGGATGGATAGATGGATGGATAGATGGATAGGTGGATGGATGGATAAACTAACTAATAAATGACAAAATACTGCTTACCTTAAAAATAATGTAATATCATTATTGAATTTGATTTGAATTGATTTGATAAATGGCACACAAAACTTCTTCACTAGACTATCTACTCTACTCTGTAAACCGCACATTAATATTATTACGATATTATTTGTTATTTAGTTAGCTCGAATGAAATCACAATTTTCAGACCTAGTTGTCTACGTGATGTTGCTTTTTCCATGATAAGTGATGATAGGTAGAATAAACATTGACAACAGAATAAAATTGTATTAGGATATTTTTTGATTCCAGCCCAAGTGGTGGCCCGCTTTCTCCAAAATTGATACGCACTTGATGGGATTTAATTCATTGAATGTATTGTTTGTTTGTGTACGTGCGTGTTCGTGTGCGTGTACGCGCGAGTGCGTGTGCGTGGCGAACTTATCTCCAAATGGTGTATTCAATATTATCTTAATGTACATCTACATCTCAAAATTGATCACCGGAGAAAGGAGGGGCAGTTATATTAAATGATATCATAGTTTTAATACTTTGTCTGTTTTCTGTCTAAAACTTTAAAAATAACTTTTATTTTGAGTGTTTAAATTGTTAGAAAGTGGAATTTTAATATATTCTTGATAATAATATTGAATTAAGAAACAACTGAAAATTCTTACGACATGCCATCAAAAATTATACTCCAATAAACTGTTAAATGGCCAGCATTGAGTCATGGCCATCAAAAAAAGCCAGATTCTCTATGTTACATTCAATTTCCTAGCCAGTTGCAAACAGCGCTGGAAAATAAATTCAACGATATAAACATGTTATAAATATTATACTGATACTACTTTTGCAGATATAATTTTTTTTGTTTTACTGTAATGGAGAGAGTAGAGGGTAGAAAAATCTAGGGATATATTGATTCTGGAGTGTATTGATACCCTTTAATAAAGCAACTACTGTCAATTGGAATAAACTTGCCATACTCCGATTACCTTTTTACGTTTTGTCCGAGTCGCTGCTCGCATCCTTCTTACTTCGCCGGCAGCACGACAACTTTAGTCGCAGATCCGAAATTATCCTAAAAATTAAGAGCGAAATTTTTCTGGCTTATTTCTCATTATTTAATCAGTTTGACACCTGAGGCCGGTTAAATCGCTACAACATCGGGACCAGATTCCTCAACCATTACACCCCTTCGAGTTCGGATGTTTTTTTTTTCAAATTTCAAAAATTAAACTTAAATCAAACATTGTCGAGTTTTTAAATGGAAAAATTGTTACATTTAAAATCTCATAAAAATGTCAAATTGTTATTATTATTTTTAAAGATTAAAGGCCAATCTCCCTCGCGCATGTTTTGATTTATAAAATAAATTGTTTAGATATTCATTTGATAATGTTGATGTGCACAGTAGAGAAACATGAGAAAGCTTGTTAGGAGAATCATAAAAAAGTAAACCATACATTATTAACATGTTCGTTAACTATTAAACTAATTATACAAACAAAGTTAAAATATCAAACTTGACAAACTATCGCTAAATTTTGATCATCTTCCGTTAGTGATCAGTCGTTACGAAGAAAAACTAGATAGCTTAAACTGAAAGAACGCCATTGTGATTAATTCCTCAGTTTTGCAGATCAACTTCACACAGCATGCAGAGAGTATAGAAACAGTGTTCGTCATCCAAGCCAGTGTACACCGTTAGGAACATCTGCACGCAACAATCCTTACCATTGTCCGGAGTACCTGGCTCACCCTTGTGCCACGCCTTTGTCGCTTGCATGGGGTGGTAGACTCCTATTTATGTAGAAATGTATTCAGTAAATGTATTGCGCGACGAGTTGGTTTAAACGAAATCCCGGGCTATCACACGGTAATGGAGGATTTAAACGTGATTTAGGAAAAATTAATGGAAAAGTTGAGAAATAAACAATGTAGGTTTAAAGAAATTTTAACCGATCTTTATAAAAATTCAAAGAGGTGGTAGTAAAAGGGGATAAATTGACAGAAAAAAGAGTATTTCTTTTTTTCGTAGCGAACGTGGCAACATGACTGAAAATTAGGCATTCACCATAGAACCTTCACAAATAACCACCTATTAAACCTTCACAACTCTATTAACAATCCTAAACATATCATATCTGAAACTGACTAACCAGGGTAGGGAGACCAATAAAAGGGAGTTCTGGTTCCATTGAAGTAGGTTCTATACCCACCAATGAAAAAGGTGAAAGAATTTGGAAAATATATCCCCGGACAAAGTTTGCCAGCTAAAATAATAGTAGTTTTAGTAGTTTTTAATAGTAGTTTTTAATAGTAGTTTTTAATAGTAATGATAAAAGATTGAAATAATTCAGATATTCAATTTCTGTTGCATCAACAAAAACTAGAAAAGATATTTATATACGCCCACAAGCATGCAGACAGAGTCGCATCTTTACAAAAACACATATCAGTAAACCTGAACAAACATATGTGTGAAATTTTTATACAATTATTCTCATTACGGTTAATAGTTCCCCTTGTATTTATAAAATATCTATAACACAATTACCGTGAATAAAAGCCTCACAGACAAGTCAATGATCTACGAAGTTACGAAGAATCCAGTCACAAAAGGAGCAAAAACATTTGCCATATAACTATAACATCATTCAACCAATCGTTTACGCCACACATATTTCAGATAGAAATTTATAGACACAAATATTAAAACAAAAGCAACCTGGAGTTGTGTGGTTGACATAATTAAAGGCAATGTTGTATTCGACATCATCCTCAAAGATGGCGGGGTGTGACGACGAGATAGCGTTACAGGAGGTTCTGCCATCCTGCCAGGTTTTCCTCTTAAACTGCATTTTGTAGCACTTGTGGTACTCTATCACGTAATCAAAATTTGCCGGGCACTCTGCGTTGGTATATTTCAATTCTCATCTTGCTTGAAATAACGTTTAAGTGTAATTAATTTTGCTTCAAACATCAGTCAATCAATCAAATGCATTTACATAGCGTGTATTTTTACAATTCAAACTGGTTAAGTAATAATAATTAAATTATAAACTGGTTAAGTAATAATAATTAAATTATAAACAACCGTGAATAACATAACTCCTGCAATCAGCTGCAGTCATTGAACCAACGGCCGTAACTTGGTAGGTTAGGTTTGATTTCTGGAGGCATGTGCAGGATCTGCTGGACTGCATGTAACTCACTCCTCGTAATTCACCATCAGTTATCGCTACCTTTATTTACATGGAAAAAAGTTTTTTCATAAAGAAAAATAATTTTAATAAATATTAGTGGATATTCTATTTTTTGCTTAAATTTATTGTAAAAAAAAGCATTTCTTCATTCTCTAGATAATGGTACGTGTTCTATTTTTTGGTAAAAAAAACATTTTCAACTGACGTTGAAATTGTGTATGTGATCACAAATGATTTAACTTTATAATCTAGTATTTTAATTAATCATAACCAGAACTAACTACCAAGCATTTAACAAGGCATCCAGTCAAACTCTCCACTGGAATACTCAACGGAATGGACACTCCCCTGTTGAGGCAGACGAACGTTTTTTCATGCTTTGCCACCAAATAACTGTACGCTCTAGTAAACATTTTAAACCTGGCGCTTGGCCCTTGCACGCTCAAATAAACATCAAAAAATGAAAAAAATAAATTAATTATTATCAATTTTTTATTCAAATTATTGCTAAATAACATCGCAGGAGTATTTTTAATTAATTTTAAAATAAATTCAAACAAAAAATAAATCTCAAAATGCAACTCAAGGAATGCCAGTGAAGGAATAATTTCACGTGCGAGTTAGATAGATTATAATATATTTAAAAAACAGAAGTAACTTCTCTACCTGTTAATCCTGCCACATGTGCTATTGTGAAAATTTTTTGTAAAACACAATTAACACCACGGTTACCGTCTTAAACGATAGACAGACGTGATGAATGGGGAAAATATATTTTTTAAATGTTATGTTCTGCTATGTTAAAATTTCATTGCGAAAGAAAATGCTCCAAGACCACGAACAATTCTACCGTAATGATGTGCAAGAGGCAAACAAATAGAATTCTTGTTTGAATACACCGCGAACAATAAATAAAATTCGCAAATAGTTTTTTTTATGTTTTTTCATTTTTAAAATGTTTAAATGGCTGTGAGACAAAACGTTAGAGAAATGTTTTCATTTGCGTTTGTTTATCCACTTTACCTTCACTCATTCGTTTATCCACTTTATGTTCACTCATTCGTTTATCTACTTTAAGTTCATTCAGTTCTCAAAAATTCACACGTTCGTTTTTGGTTTGATCCTTGATTAAATATAATTACTTCATGTAATCCAGATGATCTCAAATTACGCGATATAATACTACATTTCAATTTAGACATATCTGTACGGAATAGCTAACTTATTTAAAATTTACTTTAATTAATCACTTCAATTACTTTAAAAATTTAATCTTTGAAGAATTAAATTTGAAAATATTTTGCCCGCCAGCCTCATAATTTTTCTGTCTTATTATAAATAGCGAAGCCAACAATTTTTATTCGTTACCGACCAACCTTCATTATCTACTGAATAAAATAATACAATAAACAATGTTTTACACACAAAGTTGTATAACATAAACATGCACATATTGATTGATACACACAACTTTAAGGGGATTGATTGATGGTAGAAAGTCAATTGTTAACATCTGTTTATGCCAGATTTTGTTTAAATAAGTGTTGACTCATTATGAAGAGCTTACGATAGTTTTTAAGTTCACACGTTCAGGTTTTTAAACGACCATTCCTGATTAACTTTTGTAACAGTGCGGCCGCAAATATGTTAAGTTTTCTAAATATAAACTGAAGAGTAATTATACTTAATTTGTTCATAATACTAAGTATACCATGAAAGATTTAATTTATCTAAATTGAATTTAAACAATTCCAAACTAAAACTGCCTTGTATTGATCATTTCTATTACTACATAATTCTCAATCATCATGGATTCGATAGAGATTTGAATCTTCCAAAGAAGTCTGTGATACTCATTGGGATCTTTTACAAAAAGTGTTCAATCTTATAGTTCAAATTATTTTAGTTAAAAAATATTAATTCTCTTTAAGAAAAGATAATAATTTATTTGAACAACCCCTACAGACTCATTTGTCTATGGCCAAGGAACTCCAGAAAATCCAAAGGCTTGGGTAACTGGTTACAAGACTAATGATTCAAGGGCAGAATTTATTTCATGGATAAAAAGGTTTTTTAAAATGAAGATACCTGTACAGTGCATCTGCCAACAACATCTCCTCCGTTCACTATTGTATTAGATGAACGCTACATGGAAACACTTGGAAAAAGCCTTTCGTTGTTCTAGTTGTTAAACCCCTTTTCAGGAAATATCCACACTACTATCAGTTAATAGTATTCACGGACAAATCTGGACTTTAATTCAAGAAAACTGTACAAGAATACACACACCTTCACCAGTTTTTTGTCACTGGTGGGTGGTTAGTACAAGAAATTAACTTATTTTTCATAGTCTCCTGAAAGCATCGTCCCAAGAATGATTGACTAGAAAAAGTAGAAAACAAATCTGTCTCTCTCTCTCTCTCTACATTTTCTTGAAGAGAACTGCTGCTTTGAAAATTTTTTCAGGCAACTTATCGCTGCATAAATTTCATTTTTATTATCAAACACCAACAGAACTAACGTAGTGGAGTATTTCGATTCAGTTGTGGTTAGATGAGAATAAATAAATTTTATTTTCAACTCAAAAGTTTAGCACTTAAGATCTAACGGTGCGGTCAATCTCAATGGCGGATCGAGGAGGGTTAGAGGGGGCAGTGCGAAGGCCGTGCGGCGTTATAATATTTCACGGTTGACCACTTGCACGTTTCCTTCACTATCATTAGAGAATATCTTTTAAATAATATTTTAAATAAATTTTTTAGTGAATTTATTAAATATAAAAAAAATTGACATTTTTCAAAACTTTACGTGCAAATTATTGACGATTAAGAACTATTTTTAACTTGTTGCTAATAAATAATAATATCACCGCGTAGGCCATCGACATTCTGATCGTGTGCTTATTTTGATTGGTTTTTACACGTTGCGAAATGTTTAACTAAGTAAACAAAAAAGCGTTGAATGTAGAGAACCGCCGCGAAATATAAAAATATCTACAAATTGAAAAAGAGAAACATACAAAGAAAAAATACTGGCGTAATCGAGATGAAGGTCGTTAAGTGAAGCTCAATGTTTATGGGAGTTTTCATACCAAAAATGGAATCAAATTTTTATGCCACAGTCATTGTGTAAGTAAAAGCTGTAGTGTGCATAAAATATTTGAAGCAAGGCGAGACCCTCTAGCAGCGAGGCCGTGGGTGGTCGCCCACTTCGCCCACGCCTTGCGCCGCCACTGTGTCTTGATCCGGCACTCATGTCAAATGAATTTTTTTAAATGATATTCCGATTTTAAAACGGTTTCATGAATTTTTGTTAACACTTCTGTGAGAATGATAGGTTGGATTTAAAGTTTTTAAAATAATGATAACACGGTTAAATTTGGTGTTAGTGCAACGTCCCATTGAACAAAATAATAATACGAATAATTAATTTTTAAAAATTGAGGAGTATATCAATTGCGATTGACACAATAATCGACTGAGATGAAATTTTAACATATGGCAAATTAGGAATATCTGTTTGTTTTATGCTAAATTTTGCATATATAATAGTTGATTCACGCATATTTAGGTTGTTCACTGGATATTTTTAAACTTAAAAATATTTTTTTTCATTGCCAGCGTTAGGACTTGAAACATCATCCGAAATGAATTTTAGTTATTACGTGTTGGCAATTGTAACACTAACGGCGATTCAGTGCTTTGCAAGTAAGTTTTCTTTTTCAAAATACTTTTTTTTGGTATTTTCAATAGTAGGAAGTTCTTTGTTAACAAATTTTAAAAATTTGAATTAAAGTTTTACTATTTAAATTAAAAGTTCAGTGCCCCCGATATTTTCAAATTTTATTCCGACGCAGCAGACATGGCTTCGATAAACATTTAAATATTGCTCTGAAGCATGAAAATCAGGTTTTTTCAATCGATAAATTTCCCTGAAAAAGTCTTACTTTCATTTCAAATTATCTATCAATACATGCATTAAAAAGTTAACAACACATTCGTCTTATCAAAACATACACGTTAAATTTGACTATATCCTCCAGACGATGTGTGTCTACAATCAAGAGAGGCCTGGAGCTTTATAGTCGGTGTTAAAACGAGTGATGTGATAGGAGAATATATCTTATGGGTACGAGTTTGTCAAAATTGATATTAACTATTTCTTCAGTGTCATCGTTTGACGTCATTGAAAACCTTTGAACTGACAAACTCATGGATTTTATAAATTTTTACTTTTAAAATTCTAGCACGGAATATTTCAACATGACGGACGTCCTTATGGTTTGGAGATTTTTGGTTTAGAGCATCCCAGCCACAGATGTCCCCTAGATTCAAGAACCTTAAAAATTAAAGGGAGAACTTATAAAGTTTGCCCTTTATAAAGTTAATCAGCTGATCCAACAACAGACAACGATCACGAATTCTAAATTAATGAACACTGTTTATCATTGAAATAATTTTTTGAACAAAAATTGTTTGTCATTACGACAGGTGAAGGAAGGAAGTTTTGTGAAAAACTAAAAACTTAAAAAGTAAATTGAGATGTAATGGCGCAAATTTTTATGTTTATGATAAAAATGATAGACTCTATATCTAGAATCATGTAATATTTAAACTTTGTCGGTCGAATAGAAAATTAATTTACTGGAAAATGGAATGTAGACTTGGTTGGTTGTGCCGATAATGTTGTAGTACCCCTAACAGAAGAAAGGGTTATTCATGCAGTGGCGGACACAAAGAGAGGGTGTTAGCTATCGGATTTTTAGTCACAGCAGAGATTGCATGTTCCCAAAACCATGCTCAGTTTGCACATGTTCCAGAAATAGACATTGCATCTATTTTTTCATAGCTTATCTTAATTAACTCTGTAACAACAAACCAACAAACACAAAGCAAGTTCTTATATTGGGCAAAACAAAACTAAGTATATTAAGAGTAAGTCTTACTCTTAATACAAATTACAAAAAGTCTGAAAATTTTTCAAATCACAACGAATTATCTTAACTAAAAAACACCATCAGAACACACACAGCGGACAGCTACGATACCTGCGACCGTCGCAGTTTATATCATTCCACTTATAATCCTCGTAGCCCCAGATGTGTACGCAATCCTCTCCAGCCAGTCTGTTTGGTTCATTCCGCCTCCAGTTCTTGAAGGAAAATTTACTATTTTCTGCCGCCCACACGAATCCATTCCCTCTGTACCGACCGGATGTCCAGAAGTCTTTTTGGCACGCGCCTGTTTTTGAAAAAATTTAGGGAAGGTTTTACTTTTTTATGAATTGTTTGAATTATTATTTCTAAATAGTTCTTCGTTTTTGGTGACCTTTTTTAAAAAGTTTATTACAAAAGTTGAAATGCTACGCAACAGATAAATATTAAAATATTTTCTCATTAGTAAACTTTTGAAAAAAAAGTTATCAAAAATTTCAACCACGGACTTGTATCGGGCTTGTGGCTATTGAAGTAGGCCTTGATACAATTTTGATCCTGTTGGGATCTTATGCTGACAAGTTTTCCATTGGGAGCAATCCTGGAACAGAGCTTCTCGGCTTCAAACCAGGACGTCTTGCGATTTATGACATGAAAATGCTTTCTATTACATAAGTGATTCGGTTCTGCGTTGGAAAAAATGATGAAATGTTATGAATTTATTATAAGGTTTATGATTGTTTGTGCCTACAGATATTTTAGATGTTATAACAGTCTATCATAGATGGATCTAGCTTGAAGTTAAATTATTATATTCAGTTTCTGAATGTCAAAATATTTTTTTTCTACTTAAAATTTTAAGTGATCAAGTAATGCTATGATGTAATATTTTTCGGTGTGAGACAAATTATCAGTTAACACGCTATGAATATAGAAATTTAACTACTTTTGGTTATGTCTGAGAGTTGTTCTGAATTAAAAATTGAGGTTGATTGAATATTTGAAGCAATGTCGTTAACAACAAAGACATAAAAAATTACTCAAATATTTAGTAGTCAGCAGTCTAGTTGTTGCTGGTTTTTTTGTTGTCCTTGATGTAGTAGTAGTGGTAGTTGTGGTCACCGTCGTCGTAGTAGTAGTAGCGGTGGTAGTAGTAGTAACAGCTGTTGCTGATGTAGTATCAGTTGTACTTGAAGTTGTGGCTGTAGTGGTCGCTGGTGTTGATGGAAATGTATCAGTTGCATCGGTTGTTAAAATGGATGTGGTAGTAGTTTCTGGAGCTGAAGATGGTATCCAAATTGGGTGCTCTTACAAATTTACGGGTTATAAGAACATTAGAAATTGACAATTTAAAACGAAAAAGGACGATAGCCTAATAATAAGTATAAAATAGTATGTAAGTGGCTTTGTGATTGTCAGAGTTGCTTAATAAAGAACAATAACATCGCGTAACAGTAAAACCTACCATTTGTATGGTCTTGAAGTTCAGCAGTTCTTAGCTTCTGGCCGTTGTAAAGGATCGGCTCAAATTCCAAGTACTGCCTTGCGACGATGTATCTCGATAGTTTATATTTATTCCTGTAGATGCTGGGACCTGGAAAATTTGGATCAAACATGAGAATAGGAACCGTTCTCATTTTGCAATTGTTTGACTCGTGACTCGCCCACTCAGCCCTCACATAAATTTTTACCTTCCACCATCCTTCGCCAACAAATAAGTTACAATCGTGATTTCATCGTATTGAAGCCAGCACAATGTACTTTTATTAAATAATAATGAACAGACATGGTTTTATTATTTTACAAATTATTTAACAATAATTTTATTTATAAAACTTAAGTTATTTCTTGGTCGCAGAACCAAGTCTAGGACAAACCTGCGATGAAACCAAGAGCCAGAGACGTAAAATAGACAAGGAGCAACAACTTGCATGCATCTGCAGACAACATCTTCATCGTGCTAGTTGGAAATTTTTTTAGTCAAATGAATTTAAAATAACTTCAAACGAACGAACACAACTAATTTATCAACATATATTTTCATTAATTAATTTTAATTCTTTATTTTTTGACGTCTTACAAAAAATGTAATACCCTAAGAAGCACACTAATACGCATATTAAACATGATTAATAAATTTAATATACTAGTATATATTCAAGAATTGAATTGGAAGTAGAATGAATTGACAATTTTAAATGAAAAAGGACGATAACTTAATAATAAGTCAGCTAATATCAGAGAAAACGTTAGTTAATTATTTTTAATGATTTAATTTAAATCGTTAAATTAGAATATGGTGGCCGATAATTTATTTGTAAGCCATTATTAGCTAAGTAGTCATTCATTTTTAAATGCGTGAAAACTTTAATGAAATATGTTTATTTTAAATATAAAAATGCGGCTGTGAAGTAAGCGAACGGAACCGAGAATAGCGCGAAAGTTAGTAATTTAAAAGTGAGTATTGTATATACAACCGAGTAATACAACCGAGTATTGTATATGTATATATATGTATATGTGCTCACAACCGCTAAAATCTAAATTGTAGTTTGTCTTGTTAACCGGAGTAGTTGAGACGAACAGAAAATAAATTGTAATAATTAAACTTCTTGAACTTTTGATTTTCTTAATATAGCTTCTATCTGATATGTTGAAATAATGTTTAATTATAAAATAAAATGATATATCTACATATATAAAATTTGAGTTTGCGTAATAAACACTCACCGCAATTAATGAATATGCATCATAAATATATTTGTGCCTAGTTTAAAAGTATTTGTTGTGCATTTAAATTAATTTTGTTCTGACTTATACTGACACCAGATATATAGCAGGGTCTCTAGTAAGTTGTTTATGTTATTCGTAATGTTGTCCATTTAAATTCATTTTGTTGTGATTTTAAAGTTTAGGAAATTAAAAATATAGCCAAAACCAACAAACAAATTATTCCTGTAAACATTTATTTTATTACTCAAAACAATCAAGCTATATGTTAGTTGCTCCCAGAAACTCTCGTACCTGTATACATCGTGGTCAGTGTGATTTTGGCTATCACATCGCTATTCTTCGTAACATTTGTCTCGTATCGATAGTCGATCAGTGACGAGACCACAATCTCCGACCGGCAATACGGACAGGTTGAACTTTCCATGTACCACCGATGGATACAAGTTGGATGAAATGCATGCTTGCACTTCACCACACACACAATTCTTCGCCACATATCGTGCAATCTTCATTCATACACTTGTCTTTCAAATACGGTAATGTGTACGTTTTGCCATCTGCGAGGTTTCTGTAGAATTTATCCGTGTGCACAATTCGTCCTTTGACTAGGATGCCGAATGAATAAAGACTCGAAGCGCTTTTGTGTTTCTTTGCCGGTTCAGCAACACTTGAAAAATACATGTTCTGTAAGTCCTCCATAAGTTTATGAAGCTGGTCAGTCGTGATTGAAGTTATTGACTTTAGCTGGTCATCCAATAGAGTGACATCACATGCCAAACATTTGGCCAACATGTCAATCTCGTTTTCCATTAATACACATTTGTCGATTTGTTTCAACAATCCTGTATATTCATCCATCAAGACTGCATATTGACTCTTTTCAAAATTGTCCATATACATATCAACTATGTTTTTAACGCCGCATTCAATAATTTCTTGGTGATCCATTTAAAAAATTAATTGCAAATCTGTTGTGAGAATAACGAAGAAAAGGCCACTAGCAAAGAATAAAAGCGATTGAACCATTCACGTTTCAGCTCGTCTTCTTATACCATCAAATGCAAAGATTATTGTGCGATCATGAACCAAACCAAAGATCGTTAATTTTTAAAGTACCCGTTATAATAATTTATTACAAGTTGATAAAAGAAGTTAACTTTGTGTTAATTACTGGTTTGTTTGCAGGCTGGTTTATACAAAGGTCAAATATTTAACTTGACTCCACTTACACGGCTTGAATAAAAATTAAAATCTTCTTCTATGGCGAGAAAATCAGGTTTTTTCAATCAATAAATTTTTCTGAATAATTTTTAATTTCATTTCAAATTATCTATCAATACGTGCATTAAAAAATTAACAACACATTCGTCTTATCAAAACGGACACATTAAATTTGACTAAATCCTCCAGTATATTTATCTTTGCGACACCTTTGTTTAAAACAAACTTTGTTTGATAATTATTCCAAAAGTATAATTAATTTAAGAAGTTTGTCTAGAAAGAGTTAACTTTGTGGAACCAAAGAAATGTAATAGAATTAAAATATTTTACTTCATAATCTTCTTGGGAAGAATCTTTCACATCATTAGCCAAATTTTATTAAAATAAATTGTATAAAAAAAATAATAATTAAGAAAAGATAAACTGTTTGTCATTGATCATAAACTCGTCTCATTTGTGTTATTTATTCAATTGAAATCGAACTTTAATTTACAATTAAATCACTCGTTGATGAGCCAGATGAACGCCGCAAAAACAAAAATTTTGCGCTACATTCCACTGCAGACGCTGAAAGAATCTTAAAAAATGAGCTAATTAAAATATTTCATAATCTTAAAAAAAGTTATAATAAAAAAATCTACTTTGGGCATGGAATGATTGCTTTATAATTTAAGATTTACTCAGCTTCGTTTAAGAATTTTGAAGAAAAGAATTTAATTTTTGGTAAATGTATCAAAAATCATCACAAAATAAATATAATTCATCAATGTTTGTAAATCTAATCGTTTTAACAGATGACATATAAATGACATATCTTAAGTTCTTTGAATTTTTTAAATTTTTTATTTTTTTTTATTTAACGTCAACTAGTAAAACTACCCCTTCGTAAGTCATAAGGAATAGAATACAAACTTGCATGTATGTATGTGTGGTGTGTGAGTATATATATATAAGTGTGGTGTGTCTGTATATATATATATATATATATATATATGTGTGTGTGTGTGTGTGTGTGTGTGTGTAGTTTTAGACTCACTTGAACCATTAGACCTAGTTCAATCTGCATTTGAACCAGGCAATTTCGCAACAACAGCTAAAATTCACTCCATGGTACCTTATTGCTTTTTTATTCTTTAAAAAATCAGAATCTGACAGTCTATATTTGAAAATGTCATGTTCGAAATTAAAGAATTAATTGTTTAAAACATTAAAATTTTTAAATTGCTGATTAACCAGAGTTTTTTACCAAATACTAAATAGAACCGTCTTAAACAAAGCCGAAGAACAGTAAATTTAAAAGATAAATTGAATTAGTTATCTTTCTTCTCTTCTTATTAATACTGTTATTAATATTAATAATATTATTAATAATATTATCATCATTATCATTATTACTATTATTATCATTATCATTATTATTATTCATCATCCTCATAATAATAATTATGTTTGACACCCGTCGAAGGCAGAGTCCAGCATTTGTAAGGATAGATAGGTATGTGAGAGACTGCTGTCACTCATATTATCGTCATTCCTATAATCATTAGTATTATTAATATAATTTATATTACGATTATTAACCCTGTTATTATTATTAGTATTATCATTATTATTGGTTTGGCTCTTTTTTATTACAGTAGCCCACGTAATAAATGGTAAGACTGACGCCAGCCGTAACGACACCAATGGAGAGAAGGCAGATGAAAATTATCGAAAACGTAGACATTGGTAGAGCTTGGCCAGTCTCCATTCCCCTCAACTGCCAACTGACGATGAAGTTTTCCAGAAGGGAGGCGTTCAAGTCTGTGATTGTGATTTCCTGGCGGAAAATTATCTCATTTTAACTCCATCGACAGTTCAATTCTTACAATTTAATGGTAATAATAATTCTATCATTGTTATCGGTATAATTGTTATCGTATCATCTTCATTATCAGTCATCTTAATAATAATAGTAACATTGAGAACAATAATAACATTAATAATAATATTATTACTATTAATAATTTTATCTGTTCAATTGATCATTATCATCAACGTCCTTATCACCATCAGTGCCATCCTCACCATCGTTGTTACTATTAAAAGAAGGTGGTCTTACATTAGGGTATAGGGTCCAGTTGAATGCTATCTCCTTACCATTCATTTGTACACAGGTAGGCTCAAATTGGAGGCCCATAATATAAATTGACTCAAGCATCAACTCGTCTGCTGGCTTATACCCGCCAACACTCAATGTACTACTAAAAGAACTCTAAATTATTTGTATGAATATAATTAATTAATTTATTTAATTATGATAAATAACGACAATGAGGATGATGATGATGATGACAACGACGATGATGGTGATAATGACGTAACTTACTTGGGAAGCAGTGAACTTTATGAGGGTGTACTCGTTTTTCGTAATGGTGTCTATTGATGAATATTTTTCTATGTTAAACATCATCTTCATCATAATCATCATTATTTTCATCATAATCATCATCATTTTCATCATAATCATCATCATTTTCATCATAATCATCATCATTTTCATCATCATTTTCATCATAATCATCATCATTTTCATCATCATTTTCATCATAATCATCATCATCTTCATCATCATCATCATTTTCATCATCATCATCATCATTTTCATCATCATCATCTTCATCATCATCATCATATTACAGATCAAAACATCAAAAATTGCATCGTAATCAATATAATTCATCGAACGCACAGACAACACCAAAGGGGAAGTTCACTTCACGCATCACACACTCTCACCACAACTTACCAAATGTTTCACCATCGTCCCAAAACAATTCACCACTGGCGGTCTGATTCATATCCATTGCAACTAATAAACTTATGGGGTTCTTACGACTGTAAAGTATTTCATTTACAGAGAAAGAGAGAGAAAGAGAGAGAGAGGGAAAGAAAAAGAGAGAAAGAGAGAGAGAGAGGAGGTTAACGTGCATGTCGACAATTTTTTATATAATTTTATACAATTTTTTGAAATTTGATATAAATTTGTCAAGAATTTGAATGTATTTGCCAGTATTTTTCAACATTTTCATAAAAGCTAGCAAAACCAACCACTTAATACATTTTTTTATAACTTATTTTAAAATAATAAAAAAATTAAAACTATTTCCTAAAATATATGTTGCTACTAGTTCCTTAAGAGCAAGAGTTCATATTTTAAAAATTATATTAGTTTAGAAAGGTAGGTTTATAAAAATGTAAACAAATCGTTGTTTAAATTTCTTGCCGTAAAAATACAAACTGCCGGTTGATAGCGTAGATAATAATAATAATTATAATAATAATTATAATTATTATTAAAAATATTAAAATCATTTAAATAACAAGCCAACCTTAAAGCAGTTGTAACAGCCGACTTCTGGCGAGGCAAAACACTCCCACCTCTTATATAGAGATTTATTTTTTCGTAACTACTGTCCAAAAGATAAAAACCTCCATAACTCCGTTTACTGTGATGAGTGAATACGTCGTACCATACTCCCCTTGGGAGGTAGCCTTCAGATCTGAAATAGCTTTTAATCTGAAAAGAAACAAATATTGAGTGGGAGTTACAGGGCAGATGCTGACAAAATGTGTTAGTCAGTCAGTCAGTAAGTCAACCAGCCAGTCAGTCGGTTAGTCAGTCAGCCAGCCAGTCAGTCAGCCATCTGATTTTTGTGATATAGTTGAGGTTTCAATTAAGGTTTGATGGTACAGTATTGGAATGTTGGAAATTGTAAAAAGAGCAGACGTAACTAACAGGCTCTAAGAAAGGGCTGACCAAAAGTGAGGTGCCCCATAGAAACTGTTTCGTGGCGTAGTACGTTTCTAAATCATTAGGGAATCTGAAAGAAAGAAAAAATCGTTCGTTCAGTTTTTGAATTGATCAATGTCTGTCTGCTAAAATCTAAACAAAAATTTTAAATAGTTTTAAAAATAATTAATAATTCTTTTTATAACTGAAAAACAATAATTATTTGATAAAAAAAAAACAATTAGAGGAGTGAAAATATTTTGTTCATGGTTCAATTATTTCTGTTTTAATAACTTGAGTCGTTTTTTATAAACGGACGCTGACTTCTGAATCAGAACTTTTTTTAACACCTCAGTGCATTTCTAGCCCCTCAATAATTTGTAAAGAAGACGGTGAAATAAACGTAAAAAAAGACAAACAAAGACAAAAAATACAAGAACATTGGCAAATGTTTGGGTCAATCAATCAATCAATCAATGATCCTCTGTAGTCCCTTAAGGGACCGTTGATGCCGATGGTATGTTTGGGTATTATGGCTTAATTTATATTTTTGATTCGTCAAGCCTCTCATTAATTATGAACATTTATTGTAAACTTTCAAAAAGTTTTTGGTTATAATAGACAACTGTACACACTTGAGTGGTTTATTTATAAATTTGCGGATGTGAAGTAATAAAATAATAATTGTTGCTTTCAAATTTCACACAAAAAATTTCAAAGTCACAGAAAAAATTAACAAAAATGAACAAAATGCAGTACTCGGCTCAAACAAAACAAAAACAATCTCAACAATGAACTGAAATTTGCACTGTTTATTGCATTGTTGTTTCTTCAAAAAATTTCAATGAGGCTGATTGTAGATAACGGAGCTCTTAAAAGTCAGCATATAGTTTATCATTTAGAATTCGCTAAACATTTTTATATAATAAAAATTATTTAAAGACGGACACAGTGCACGACAACGAAACGTCTTCCAAAAGAGCCAAGCAGGCCTATTTACATAGCAGCCAATACACATGTTGAGTACCAGAGTGTAGGAGTCAAATATGAATGTACTAACGCAAAAGACAAAGGCCGAATGACTGGACTGCCGTCTAGCTGGTTCAGATAAAACTGAGTGTACATGAATGGCAAGAGGGAGTATCTTAGCTCGATGGCATCTTTCATTATTTTCCGGGCGTATGAGCTCCATCGTCCAGCCCCTGGATCCTGGCTCTGGCAAGTTAAATAATAATTGAAAATATCGACTAACTATTTAGCAATAGGACTAGAGGTCAACTTAACTGAACCGAACATCTTCAACAAACAATCTAACAGAATAAACAGATGCCATGAAATTTTCGCAAACAGTCTAAAACGGCCAAAATAGACGATAGACTAAACAAAAAATCAATCATAATAATTTTTAGAGAAGTACCAAACCAGACGGCCAACCGACTAATTAATAAACCAATAAAATAGTTATGCAATCATTCAATCGATTGAAATCATTCGAATGAGCAGCACTAACGGCGTTGTCTTCGTCATTATGATTCCTCATAAATGGGTAGAAAGCTCCGAGTTGGGTCCATCTGATGCATAGATCTTCATTGGAGTCGTCGGCGAATCCACAAACATCCGTCCCGACGAACGGGATGCCGAACATTTGTGAGTTTAACAAACCTACACTTGCGCGTGGGGACGATAATAAGTGATTTTGGAAATTTGAATGATTGTGAAGAATTCAAATAATTTAGTCCGATCAAAGGTCAAAGGTTATAGGTCAATCCACAAACATTAGTTTGCCAAATGTAGTTGGTGTAGTTGTGATGTGGGAAAACATGACCTTGGCTGTTAGGTTGATATGTCATAACCTACTGTTTTTAGGTTCAAAGCCAAGTCGAAAAATCAATTTAAAAATTTAAAATTTGTTCTCCATGCTCTTAACAATTCATTACATTCCCTATTATTTTTAATTATTATTGAAAAAAAATAATTTAATTTATTTAAAAAAAAATTCCTTTATTAATTTTTTAAAAGTATCAGCAACAAACAAACAGTTGATGCGAATGCACGTGACGCATCATAAATATAATGTACGTCATCGGTAGGGAACTCGTTGCAATCAAACCTAGTTACTCCGACATCAGTGGCAGGCACCTTAACCATTATGCCATCGCGTCGTGCAGTGTCGAGGTGAATGTCAGGTGGCGAGCAACATATTTGATTTATTGTATGTTATAAAACAAATAACGAACAAATAATTACATAAAAATCAATCCGTACTTTTTATAGAATATCTCATGTCATCCCAATCAGATTTCCAACCGGCTGACCAATGCTGTCCATACTTTCCATGACTTGGAAATGTAGATCTTGAAACTGACAGAGTCCTCTTGCCGATTATTTTAGCGAGCACTCTGTGATCGGCGAACAATGATGTAGGTGCTGATGTTGTCCCGATGTGTAATATATGTTGGGAAACATTTCTCCATATTTTCTCTTACTGCTGCTATGCTGCTGACGAGCGCTGCTTCAACGTCACATACTGTGCAACAGCAATTAACAACAACAACAACAACAACAACAACAACAACAACAACAACAACAACAACAACAACGTCATCAACAAAACACACAAAAAAAACAACAAAAAAGATCAACAAAACCAACTTCTGTGTAACCATCGCCATACTCAGTCCATACAAATTGTGCAGGTTATAGTGCGTTGAAATGTATTGACGGGCCGAAGCACACAAGGTTTTATGCTCCAGTTTTCCATTTCCTCTGGTATCTTTTTGTTTATTTTTGTACAACCCTTTCATAAGTATTCCCCAAAGACATCATTAACAAACACAGTGGTGTTTATGGGTGGGCAAAAGGCCATTTTTGTGGGAAATCCACCAAAAATTGACGTGACAAACAAAACGAAAGGTCGCCAGCATAATTTGGCCTACGCAACAACCAACAATTTTGGCTCCACCGTCAAAATGTCAAAATTATTTAAACATTTTCAAAGTTGTCTAGATCCGCCATGAACATATTGTTAATGCAATTTCACCTAAATCAGCTCATTGCAACATCGCATGTTGTAGAAGTAATAAACTCGCTTTTGAACCCGCTAACGGAGAAAGCAGTGACTGGCGCATTAACCATAACACTAACGTGCTGTTAACTTGTATAGTGCTCTAGCCAAAGAATAAATTGCAGCGATAATAGAAATGTTAACATGGATAAAAAATAGTATTTACGAAAGCAGGTGGTAGCTTTGATAACGACGATGATGAAAACTTATGAAATGATTCGTTATTGGTACGATACGATACGATATGATAACAAAACGGACCTGGAACATAGGGAGGTCGATCCAGGCTATCGTTTGTACAGCCAAAAGTAGAGCCGGAATCCAAATTCGATGGTTGGTTCATATCCTAAGAGAGAAAATAACATTAAAATTAGCCATTTTTTAGTTATTAAGTGCGTTTTTATGCCTCGATCTCTGAATGCCATAAATAAAAATTTGGAAAAAACCCCAGAAACTCACGAGACATAGTCCATCAAATGGCAAAACTTTATGGAAATCTTCAGCACTTTCCAACCACCAGCTTGAAGCGTTAGGATGTGTAAAATCGGGGTACACGGTCGGCCCGGGCCCTAACCTCCCCTCCAATATGTCTCCCGCAGAGTTTCGTATGAATACGTTTTGTTGTATTCCTCTATCGTATGGCGGATAGTGGCCTGGATACATTCTGCTGATACCTGGGTACTTGGTTGAGAGTTGATGCTTTGCTATGTTGGTGTTCAGCAGATAGATTTTCAGTTTCTCACATTAAATCTCGGCAGTAAATTAAAACATTCAACATGTACTAAGACTGTTGATTTATTTTTCAATCCACATTAAGAAACTGTATGAATAATTTTTGTGTAAATTTAATTTTGTGTTACCAACAGAAAATAATTTTGTATTTTCTCGTTTATAGTATTGCAATAGCAACAACAATAATAAAATAATAATAATAATAATAATAATAATAATGGCATGAGCAGTTCTACCAGTGTAATGATAGATTTCATGGAATTGTTGTGCAGTTCCTCCACCAAATGAGGCAAACCTTTGTAACGAGTGCCATCGTAGGTCCACATCTTCCCATTCTCCATGTGGTCCACACCGATCCACTGTGCCTCCTTCGGGCGAGCAGTACATTCATTATGGTTTCATTGATGAAGATGTATCATTCAAATTTATTTCAAATGTAACTCTTTGTTTAAAACTTTAAGTTTGTAATGTTTTAGCAACGCAACTGAGGAGCGTGTGACATACTGGCACCTCCATGCATTCGCACCCGGCCACTACAACACGCCAGACAGCCAGCTGAAACTTATAATAAATCAGTAACGATAGCAAGAAGAAAACAAACGTATGGGATGCCTAAATCTCTGTTCCTCTCAATAATACTCTTCAAATGGTCAATGTCCTGGTAGTTCGAATTTGAGAGATGAAACCCTAATGCCCAAAATGGCGGCATGGCGGGAATTCCAATGAACCGGACGTATTGTTGCACAACATTTTCCATGGTTGGGCCGGTGAAGATGTAGAAATCAAGGACGCCACCTATCGAACGGAAGGTCAGGGCTGGAGTTGGCTGTACGTCGAAGTCTGGGGGGTTGGAATTGTTTGAATAACTTTCCGCTAGATTTTTTAAATATCACCAATTTATGGTTGTGTGTGTGTGTGTGTGTGTGTGTGTGTGTGTGTGTGTGTGTGTGTGTGTGTGTAACTCACCCACTGCATTACTATTAAGAAACAGAACGCCGTGTGAATTGCGACTCCTGTTGCCGACGTTTATATAGAACGGGTGCTCGCCTATTAATGTGGACCCGCTCTGGTATAATAAAATAATAGATATTAATAATATAAATTGCAAACGTTTTTTACATTTTTGGTAGTTAAAATTTGAGATTTTAAAATGTCTTCAAATGAAAATAACTATCAAAAGATTAAATCCATCACGAAATTCAAATGACTGACCATTGGTGTTAGGTCACGAGCCCAGTAAGAATACCTACGCCATTTATAAGCATGGCGACCGTCCTCTCCCAAGCCAAACAGAATATTTGATTGAAGAAGTGTACTTATTTGGAGGAATTGATCTGCGTATATCAGAGGTGCGCCGGGAATGAGACTGTTGAATCTAGGTAGTTTCAGTTCGTCTTTTATTCATTCAATGAACTCATTTAATTTTATTTCTTTTTTGTTAAACAAGATTAATTTTTTTTCTCAAAAAAATAATATGTAAAAATATTAGAGCTACTGGCAAAGGTCGCCTTTTTAAGTGCCGCTAAAAGAATGGAAAACATTCATTCAGTTCACTGTTTATTACAGACTCATCATCGGGATGTTTTTAAAATTACTGAATGTTATTGTTGTAGCCAGTGTTGTTGAAATACTCAAATGTCGAGTTCTTAAATACTATTAAGGTATTTATATACCCTAAAATACCTAATAGCACAGGTTGATAACGTATTTAACTCAAAATTATCCTATTCAAACTCACAATATTTCGTTGGAATTATGTCTAGTTACTTTGATACCAAAAGGTTTGAATTCGAAATCAACATTATAGTCGACATCGTCAGGTTTGCTAGTTGGAGGTTCGGGCGTATGGATCGGAACCTCATACCTCCAGCTTTCTGAATCGACAATCTATGATAAACACGTAAACAAAGTGATATCAAATCAATGGTTTCACTTTTCATCATTTAAAAATTAATCAACACAAACCTACAAACCTTGAATTGAAGTATCTTTCTACTGTGATACCAGACGTAGAGCGTTAAATTACGGATATTATTCGGCCAGGAAGAATTACCCTGACTTATCAAAAATCCCTTGTGACCATTTGCAAGGTTAACTAAATTTTCGAGCTTGTAGGAAGGATAATTTGTCGGAAAGTAGCAGCTACTACTACTACTATCACTACTACTACTACTACCACCACTACTACTACTACTACTACTACTACTACTTCTACTACTACTACTACTACTACCACTACTATTGCTGACCCTTGCTATTGCAGCCCATCCACAACAACCTCTTCGATCACAACTGGCTTGGTTGTTGGTGGTTCCAGGATAGCAATCAAACCTCCATTCGTCAGGACCGAGACACTTGTTAGCTTTGTGGACATTTTCACAGATGGCTATGCCCACAAAAAGTTGTAGCACGAAGCAGAAAAATACCGAAGCAGTAGATGAAAGAAAGATTTTCATTGTCTATTCTAACCTCCTATCAGTTGTTAAAATAAATTTTTGTTTAATTATTAACAAGTTTTTAGAGTCTAGCCACGAATCAACCGCAGCCAAACGACAAACTGAACTTCACTCACCTAGATATGTGAATATTTGTATGGAAAATTTGAATTAGAACAACGCTCAAATGATTGCATACCTAGACAGACACATCATTGCCAACCTCAACAGTGATCGCTGAAGTTTATTAAGTTTTATACGTAATATCAAATTGTTAATTTCTGCAGGGCGTAATTTACGTAAGCTCGTTTTAACTATTGGTTATCGTGAAATTAATGATAAGAAATATTTTTAGCCACGTATAAGAGAGAGAGTGTGTGTGTGTGTGTCTTTGTGTGTGTGCCTTTGTGTGTGTGGGTGTGTGTGAAAAAAAGAGAGAGAAAGATGAGTGAATGTATGTGTGTTGATGAGTGTATGTATGTGTGTTGTGAAAGTTTAGTATGTGTGTGTGTGTGTGAGAGAGAGAGAGGTTATGTGTGTATGTGAGAGAGAGAGAAAGTGTGCATTTGCTTGAGTGCGTGTACAAAACTAGGACACATCAAGATATGACAATAATAAACATTATAGATAATGAAGAATAATAATTAAAAAAAATATTAGTCAACTTAATCATAGCCATTGTTTTTGAAGTTTGTCATAATTTCTAGGAGAGTATCTGTGGCTGACTTAAGGGGTGCCACCAATCCATAAAAATTCTAAAATCTGCAACACATTTAATCATATTAATATGTAATTCCCACATAAATCAGTGACGTGTTAAAATAAAGAAGTAACGTAAAGCTATAAAACCAAAAATTAAAGTTCTGATATGTCTCCTCTGGTTTTACAATTTTCCCGTATGTATAATATATATATTAGTATTAATTTTAATTTATAAAGCGTCCTATATTAAAGCCAAAAGTTGTGTAGACACCTGTACATTTAACGACCCAAATTTTTGCTTAACCTCTCAATAGATAAGGGGGTAGATGTTTTCGAGAGTTGATAACCAGCTACAGGGTAGGGAATAGTATGTGTAAAGCATGGCATGCACATGTACCATGAACATAATACACACATAAACTTTTTTACCTTTCTTTCTCATGTATACGCATACATGCATGCATACATTTATACATACATAGGGGTACATACATACATAGGGATACATATATACATGCATGTATGTTTGTTTGTATGTATGCATGAATATATGTGTATGCATCACACACACACACACACACACACACACACACACACACACACACACACACACATACATACATACATCTGTCACCCACTCATCTTTATCGTTTGCAATATCTGCTTAACCCACTCATTTACTCCCAACCAATAGTAGCACAGCACTATTCACCCTACTATACCGAAAATCCATCATCCAACCTCACCTATCACCCATCATCCATTACACCATTTCTTTCACAAATCTTAGAAGAGCTTATTGTCTAAACATACATCACTCCAGACTATTATTCTTGTTACTACCACAAAAATATAGTTTCACATTTTGCCAAAATCCATGACTGATGTGATCATCAATGCTACATATATAATACATTCCTTGAAATTTATTGCTAATCCTTTATGTTATCAACAAGACAAATTCATGAACTGTCTGCCTAGATCCAATTAAATTGCTATAAGCACGTACCAGAGATTTGACGCAGATTGGTTCTTGTGGCTTCGAATTAAAATCTCTGTTCTGTTTTTAAAATTTCTCACTTCGCCTATTTTCACTTATCTATTTTTTCAATTCGTACTTTAATTTCCATTTTTTACTATGATGACTTTTATATATGTGTATAAATTACTTATTAGTTAAGTATTATTTACTGATTATTTAATGAAAGAGTTTCATTGTCATTTTAAATGTACAGTACATATTTAATAACCTAGTTGGGTGTAACTTTAATATGGCTGTATGTGTGTGTATATATCTATATAACAAATTTTTACAGTTAGTTTTTTTTATAAGTTTATCTACCTTTGTCTCTATCAGTTTATTTTACACTTACTTAATGGCTAATAACAACAAATTAAGTTCTTGGCTAACAGATGCCAAACCAAAAAAATTTAAGAATTCCAAATTTCAAGAGCAAATAAAATTTTGTTTTGTTTCGTTTTGTTGAGAGAATAATTAAATGACTTTTCTTTTCTGTTTATCATATGATGCTCAAAATCATATTTTTTTTCAAAATTTTTAAGTTGCAGCATATTTAGCCACAATTAGTTAATTGAAATTTATAAAGAAATATAATTATCTTAATTGATGAGTAAATTAAAGCGAGTGTGACAAGACATCTACGACGACCCAACTGTAGTTTTTTCATTATTTCAAACAAAACAGTGAAAATTAAATCTCTAAAAGAATATTGTATAAATGAATAAAAGCATATGGAGTAAAAATCAATTGATATTAACTCAAAATACGTATAATAAAGACACAAAACTCATTCTATAAAAATCTTAGGGTTGACCGGAGCTGTCAACATAAACATTCTCAAGATTTATATTAATTAAACGTTATTTTCAAATAAAATGACTTCAAAAGATTCGGACATTTGTCAAATAGAATAAATGTTATAACACTCTTTCAAATGTTTGATCGTTATTTGTTACAGAAAATGCTAGGTAAAAAAAACAAATCATTGTTATTCTAATGCTATTCATAGCTGTTAAACCATATAATCTTTTCATACCACAGGGGATTGTAAAAAAATCTACTATTGGCTATATAATATAAGACCGGTGAATGGCGAATTTAGTAGCCAGGTTTGAAGCGAAGTAGTAAATGTGATTTATGTGGTTACTTTTATTAGTTTGGTGTTTCTATTACTGTTTGTGTTCATCTATCAGAAATCTTGAACCTACGGAATAACGAACAGTTTTGGAAATATAGAGATCTTTAAAGTTATAACAGTGGTGTTTGTAGTAACTATCGTCAAAGTGTTACAACACTATCTTCAATTGAACAGGATTGATATGTTCATTTCTTCAGTAGATGACTTTTGCTAAATTCTACAAATTAACAAATTTAATTTATTTAAAATTGAAATTTTGTATTTTCACCGGTAAATTTTTTTGAAAAAAATAATTATTTTACTGATTATAAATTTACGTGCAACTAAGAGCGGCATTATCTCGGCGATCTATTAGTGAATCGAATTCCGACAGAAGAGTAGGAATGATTGAAAATTCGAATAGTGAAGTTTCTACATCGGGAAATAAAAACGAGACTGCTCTCATAAAGGACAACTACGATGGCTCTAATTACGACGAATGCGACAACTACGACGGTGTGGATGACGATAAAAACATCCAAAGTCGTAACATCGAGATCATAGAGCGATTGGATGATGATGAGATTAAGAAATTGAGGTTTGCTACTATGAAATGGTATTTGAATATCGTAAATTATCAAATCAAATTGACAATTTATATATTTTCTATAAAAATCAATCAACTGTTTGAATATTTGTGGAGTTATTTCAGCGTCAGAATATAATTCAAAATTGGACAATTATTTCAAGACAAAATGAAAACCAGATTAAATTGAAAATTGCTGCAAATCATTTTAAAATATTAATTAGATAACTGAAATTATGAATTATAAAAATTATATGTCAAAAAATTATTCTTTTTGGTCGTATTTAAACAAATTTTTTAAAAAAGTGAATAAAGAATTTTAATTTTGCTTCACTTTATTCCGACAAAACGTCTTCACAGTTATTTCCAGAGTTTGATGAACTTCGTAAAAGCCTGTATAGGAACTGGGGTGTTTGCTCTGCCGATTGCCTTCAAGTATGGAGGACTCTGGGTGCGTATCTTTTATTAAGATCACAAAGAAAAAATCAAATATTTTTAATGAATAATGAATAATCATTTGCGATTGTTTATCATAATAATGTTTTTGAATAATTTGTTTTCTATATTCAATTTTATTCACTGTCATGTTGTATTTTAATTTTTTTTTATATTTAAATTCCAGATCAGCTTCGTTTACTTAGCGTTCTTTGGATTGGTAACCACCCATGCAATGCATCTCCTCATTAAATCTTCGAGATTTGTTTCTCAGAAGTTCGTGTTTTTGTTAACAATAAGTATTCATTTTAGAGACATTTAACAAACTCCAAAATGCGTCAAAATTTTGTGTTCGCATCATAAATACCCACTAAGAATATCTCCCCTCCGACTAATCTCGTGTACCTAGCTTCACTGTGAATGTCATCACAAAAGTTTCCTACATTTTAAAACCTAACTTTTACACCAACCTAAACAAGTTTGCAATTCTGTATGAGAATTAACCGTATGAAAAGAATTGTAAGAACTTTTTTAATAAAAATTTTTCAAAGAGCAAACAGATCAGGAATGAACTACGGCCAGGTTGTTGAAGAAGTTTGTCTGCTGGGTCCTCAACCAATCAGGAACATTTCCAAACATTTGAAGTCAGTTTTGTTACGTTAGTCACATTTTGGCTGTCTTAATCTTAACGACGGTGTAGTGGATGTTCTTCATGTTGCAGAGACTGGTTTCGAATACAATAAATCGCGCCTATAAAATGCCATGTGCGTGTATGTTGGCATTTTTAAAAAAATTAATCAGGGAAGCATTCAAAGCAATGATAGTAGTAGTAATGGAAACAAATTCTATTTTCAGTCAATTTTTTAGCTTCATTGTTATGTAACAAAAAAAATATATTTGCAATGTCATCTACTCTATCAGAAATATTTATGTAATATTACAAACTTCAACATTGTTTTAATGTAGCTATATTATATTGTAAGGGCTCTCAAAAGTGGCATAAATTTTTTAAAATCTTCAAAATAAACACTACAATTGTTGAAGATATTTCTAACGTAATCTATCAATCAATCTTCGTTTAGCGTCCAAAGACCCAGTTTTCCGAGGTAGGACGTTGTTTTCTTTGCCATCAACTTTTTGCGCCAAATTAGACGATCAGTTGTATTCATTTCATTTAAATTTAGAGCTTTCATGTCTTGCTCGATTGTTTGCGACCAGGACTTCTTTGGACAGCCTTTGGGACGTGTGCCAGGTACTTCAACATCTGCAAGAGAAGTTATGGCACTGTTTCCACTTCGTTTGACATGACCAAACCACCGCAGACGGTGTTGCCGGCATTCGTCCTTTATATCATCTAAACCAGCACGACGCAGGATTTCGGTAGATTTGATGTAGTCCTTCAAATCTACCGAAATCCTACTTCGTGCTGGTTAACATAATGTTTTCTAACATAATCTACAATTGTTATACTACCAAATGTGTATTGCTTTACATTAAGCGGTTACATTCACTGACTGCCATTGCTGCTTGCTAGCAGTAGCACAATGTATTTCAGTTTTCAACAGCTGCTACTGAATTCACTTCGTTGTTCTACTAGTGTATCAGCACCCTCAATTCAAACTGAGAACGATTGTTTCTCTTCGATTCAGTTAAAGTTGTATGATGTTTTTTTTAGCACAATTTGAGTTCAAAACAAATTATGTTCAAAATGAAATTGCGTTCAAATTTATGTTATTTTTTCGGACAGAGTAAGATTATCAAATTGCTAATTAAATTTCATTTGTTTATCGGTTAATTTTTGTTTCTTTTTCATTTATTTGTTTGTTTATACATTTAATTGTCTGTTCGGCTGTTTGATCGTTCATTTCATTTATTCTTTCGTCTTCTCGTCTGTTAGTTTTCTTGTTCATTCGTTCGTTTATTCATTTATAAAATAATTATTTTTTGACGTTTAATGATTTTAATGTAATGGCTGACTTATCAATGAAGAACAATGGCTTCCAATTCGATTGTTCAGCAGGCCTTCAAAACCCATCTTTATAAAATATGATTTCTTTTAATTTTTAAGTTAAGACGTCAGAAATGTTTGATATATAAGTTCGAAAAATTTCTATATATTTGGTTTGTTTATGCATTTTATTATATTATACCTATCTGTGTGCTAGGTATAGTACACGAAAATTGATGCTAATAATTCAGCTGTCATTTTCGTCTACATTGATGAAACAAAATAAATTTTAAATATGCACATAGGCTCATACACACATGCACTTAATTTTTAATTAATTAACTAATTTATTCATTCATTCATTCATTCATGCATTAATTCATTCATCATTCATTCAATCATCCATTTATCTATATAACATAAATATCTCACTAATTAATTCACCGACCCACAGAATTTTCACTTACTTTATTCTGTGTCTAACGCAATTTGGCTTCAGCGCGTCTTACATCGTGTTCGTGGCCTACAACGTCCAAGTGGTCAGTTTGCGTAAATTTACTTGTATACATGTACATACGTGACACATACACACAAACGCACACACACTCACATACATTGTACATTCTTACAATTACATTTTTATACGGAGCGTTTTGTATTTATTGCGTGAATATTTCCAAATGAACCCACAACTAAAATACACATTTTATTAACTGTACGTGTTAATAAAATTTCCATTAAATTTTTTAGAATCGAGCGGGTAGGTAGTAATATTTTTTTGTAATTTCTGGAAAATGATTTGTGAGTACTACAAAAAAACGTTTTTATGTTTAGACGATTTATAATTTTATTATTTTAATTTAGAAAAAACATAATTTTTTAAAGGTAGTGGAAGAATATTTACCCTCAATGCAATGTTCCACTCTTATTTATCACTCGATCATCGCCCTTTTCCTCATCCCAACCTTGTGCATCACACACCTGAAGACACTTTCGTTTTTCTCTCTAGTCGCAAATATCCTGATAGCACTCAGTTTGGGAGTCGTGTTGTACAGTTGCTTCGTTGGCATGCCCCCCGTCGATTCCAGGCAAGCTTATGGCTCATGGAAAGATTTTCCGCGTTTCTTCAGCATCGCCTCATTCGCGTTCGATGGAACTGCGATGGTTTGTTACCAAATGCTCTCAACTTTAAATAAATAATTTTTTTTTTCGTTTTTTTCGAAACAATTTAAATTTCATTTATACTTTTGAAATTGTTCTACAAATTAAGATCATACCAACTGAGAACCACATTAAAAATCCAAAAAGTTTAGACGGAACGTTCGGAATCATCAACATCGCCATGCTTTTTGTAACGATTTCCTATTTGGGTAAAGTTCATTTTATATCTTGTATCAGTTTCCAACATCTTGCACAACGTTCATGAAATAAAATTGCTTCGAAGAAACTGACCACGAATAGAGACTCGGACTAGCGATAAATTCATTTTGACGATTTTGGTTTTTTATGTGAATCAATCAATAAGCCGAGCAGACTCACTAATTGATTCATATTAAAATGATCTCTTAACCGATGATGGTCATTTGGTCAAGCGGTCAAAATTAGAAGCAAACATTCATTTATTAAACTTTTTATACAAAAATAATTCAGTTATCGGGTTCTTTGGTTTCCTCAAATATGGAGAAGCCGTTAAAAGCAGTGTAACTTTGAATCTTCCGAACACGATGTTAGTTATGCCGTCGTACATTTATTTCTTCTGTAATTATTCAAAAGCAAGCTCTGCTTGGTTTATAATTGGGACTGTTTCTTCACGAAATTATTAAAAAGACACAAATGTCTTAAATTTCTAAAAGTTCCAAGTCTATGTAATTAATTTCTAACAAAATATGTTTAGATTTTACAACGTCGTTCGGCTCCTACTTGCACTATCCATATTCATGTCGTATGCCATCCCGTTCTACATTCCAATAAACTTCATCTGGTCCATTCTTCAACCGAAACTAACCGATCGTGCTTTCTTTCACAAGTTCGGAGAGTATTTCTTGAAGATGTTCTTTCACGTCATAATATGTCAGTTTTTTCATCATTTTCAACATTTCCTATGTCAAATTTTCAATTCAAACTATCATCGAACTTTATTTAACTGTCACTAGTTTTTGATTACTTAAAAAGTATCTTCTATTTATAACAAATATTCACCAAAAGCAAATTTTGTTTTCAAAAGTCGCATTTGTTGTAGCGGTGCCACACCTGGAGTCGATAATAGCCTTGATAGGAGCTCTGTTCAACACTCCATTAGCTATCGCTCTACCTGCACTCCTCGACATCATCCTTTGCCATTTTCTCAGAAGTTACGAAAGTCTCCCTCCAATAAGACGTCCGCTCTGGCTAAAATTGAAAATATTCAAAAATTGCTTCATCGTTTTTCTTGGTACTGCAGGGACTGTTGTAGGCACCCTGGTGACTGTGGTCAGGATTGTAAGAGTTTCAATAAATTTTTAAGCATGATTTAAATAAACCATTTGTAATCATTTTGTTTGTCAGATGTTCGTTTATTAATTTAAATTCCTTTTAAAACCATTCGCCAAAAGTTTGAAGTAAGTGATATCATATAACATTTACGGTTTCTTACGGCAATGAATGATACTTTAGCATTTCATACTTTATTTTTTGTGAACTGAGGAGTGAAAACGAGTGAAAAACTGAGGATTGAAATATAAACGAATGAGTAAAAGAATATATGAATAATTTTATTTTGATCTATATGTAATTAACAGCATTTTAGTAATTATAAAATAATGTTTTATACTATTTGGTCCTAAAATTAGAACAGATATTTTTTATCCAGTTATATATTTAAATAAAATTTCTATAGAAAGGGTTGAGTCATTTAAATGTTTAGGAGTTATTTTACCCTCTAATTTATCTTGGTTGAATCATATCAACATATCTCCTGTAAACTGTCTAAAAACTTGGATCTTATTTATCGTTTGAAGTTTAGATTTCCTAGATTTATCTTAACAACTTTATATAACTCTCTTATTCTTCCTTATTTGACTTATTGTTTTTCTGTTTGGGGCCGTACGTCTAGCTCTAGCTCAAAATTTTTTTCTTCGCATTCTGTTTAAATTAAAAAGATTTGTATTATGAGTTTATACTATGAAACAGCAAATATTTTTACCATGGCATAAACCAATTACATATTAATTATCTATTACTATCTTTTTTTTAAATATATAAATTAAATTATTGTCAACCTCTTAAAGATTAGATTAATTTATTTAAAAATACTAGGCTAAATTGTTCACGTTCTAATTCTAAATTTTACTTTTTGAAACCTAGAACAAAATTTTTCCTCAACTCTGTCTTATACATCTCTATGCATCTTTGGAATTCATTGCCAATGACTACTAAAAATTCTTCTTCTCTTGCTCTTTTTAGAAAATCTATTTGCTCATTCAGTCTAATTATTTCAACCATGTCTTCTGTTAATGCGAGCGTTTCCCGTTATATACTTTATATTTAGTCAATTTCAAGATAGTTTAATATTTAAATATTTCAATTATTCTTATTTTTTTTCTTATTTATAGAACTATCATTATTTCATTGTAAAATGTGAACATTTTTTTCTTATTTATAAATTTTGGTGCAAGTTATATCTTCGGGTCTCCAAGCTTTTTTGCTGAATAAACTCATTATTGAATTGAATTGAATGTTATGTTCAACTAATAACCTTAACACAAATTGTTCGCATTCTTAATGTTTAATTAATAATGTCTGAATTTTTTGTTCAAATACATTCAAAACCTTTCAAAATAACGATAACATTATAAATTAATTCATCGGCATTAATATATCATTCAACTAAAATAGATAACATAATTCCACATACATTCATTCACACACACACACACACACACACACACACACACGCACACACACACGCACACACACACACAAACAAGAGGGCACGTATTTTTGTAATCACGTACACACAAAAATTTATTACACTTATAAACACACATGTTCACATAAGCAAACTCAAGTACACGCACGCACGCAAGCACACAGGCATACGTACATACACACACAGACAAACACACACACAGACACACACACACGGACGGACAAAAAATCAATACATGTAATTGTTGATGATCCTTTCAAGATGTTCTTGCTTGCCTGATATCTTCTTTGGTTCGCCGCTCTCCTCTATGAATATCTGGAAAGTGATGACGATGATAATGGCCATGATAACATCGCAGATAGTGATGATGACGACGATGATGATGATGTTACAATGATGATATTCTGATGATGATGATGATAATGATGACGATGATGATGAAGATGTAGGTAGAAATGAATGAACTGGATGAAAAATTCAGTTAAGATCGATGATAGTGATGAAAATAATTTTTTTATTTTTTTATTTATTTTATTTTCAATAAGGGAACCAAATAAGTTTAAATGAAAAAACTTGTGGAGAGGCCACCCTAAGTACTTTACATGAGATATATATGCAATTTAAAACAGAACAGAAAATATACAAATTAAATTTCAATGCATGCAAAAATCGATAAATATAATCAGTAGGATTAACACTCGAAAAACAAAGTTAATATCTGAACATATAAGTATATACAGATATTACTAATGAATCTACAATCAAAAACAGAAAGTAGATTGGCAATGTGAGATAATTTATAGTATTTGATACAATAATTAAAAGTATGGATTGATTGAAGAGATGAATAAACGAGTCTAAGTGGACAGAAACATATGCTGAATTTAAAATAATTATTAGCGATGAAATGAGCCATATATAGTGTAATATATAAAAGGTTAAGATTTAGATGGTGGTGTCGGGATCAAGCAAATTTAACCGCGATCTCAGTTTAATTTTAAAATGGTACAATTCAGTGATAACCCTAATATCTGGGGGTACAAATAATTGCCAGATCTTAGGGCCCAAAATTTTAAGACTAGTTGCAACGAGCTTAAGGCGGGTTTTTGATGGATAAATAACAGACGCGTGTCTTGTGTTCAATATTTGGACGGAATTACTATAAATATAAAAGTTAGAAAAAGAGGGAGGGAGTAAGTTGTTCAGAAATTTAAAAACAAAAATAGCCGTGAAGTAGATGTAAAG